CTCGCCCAAAAGGCTTAGCCCAGATGCTGGAGAGAAGCTTCTTCTTCAAGTACTATCGGGGCTAGATGGCCCCTCAGGTCCTTTTCCATTCAGGGATTCTGGAATTCTGATTATTCTCTCCTCCACTGACCAGGTTCAGTTCTGTAGCTCCCCAAGGTCTCAGGGACCACCCTCATGACTGTCCTCGGAGCATGCGCCAGTCTGTCCTTTTCAAAATGGCAGCCGGTACTGAAAGTAGTCCAACAGATCAGGAAACTGAGGCCCAGAGAGGGGCAGCTACTTGCCCTAGGTGGCCCGGCTGGGCAGAGTCAGCAGTTGGGGCCAGAGCCCAGCATATTCTGTTGAAAGGCTGTTTTGCAATCTGCACTCTATCCCAAATCTCTCAGAGCCCTTGGGGCATGCTCTTGAAACACCCACACAATAATGTGAGAGGCCACTTGGCCAGAAAGTGGCCTGGGCTTAGAATCAGAAAGATTCCTTTCCTGGCTTCTGGACAAAAGACGAGTTGTAAGCCTCAGTTTCTTCATCTGGAAGATGGAGCAAAGTTGCCTTTGCTCAGAGGTAAGGCAGGAACAACCTTCTGTAAACCATAAAATAATGTGTGGGCTACCATTATTATTTGTTATTATTCACAAAAACCAAAAGGCACTCTGCAGACAGAAAGTGTGGTTTCACCAGAAAGCTTAAGTTGCAAAGACTTTTTTTCTTTATCTGCCCACGGTCAGAAACAGTCACAAAGTAATGGTTATTTGAGGGACAATGGGATGTATGTGGTCCCCAGCATACTAACCCTGGGGTCAGAAAGATCTCCATGCACAACGTTAGCTGGGTGACCTCATTTCTCTGTACCTCAGTTTCCTAATCTGAAAAATGGTAGTTTTTACAAATAATATACAGATACAAGAAATACAAATATGAAAAAACCTATATTGCCTACCTACCTCTCAGGATTGCTGTGAAGCTCATATGAGATCAGTATACAGTGTCTAAGCACATAGTGGGTGCTTAATAAATGCTGGTTGATTGATTGATAAATGCATATGGAATGATTGAGGTTTTCCCTGGCAGGGAATGTGTTTAATTTCAAATATGATGAAGAAAGGCAGCATTTCTGGGAACATAGACTAGAGGATTTCTTCTAAAATAGTCTCTTCCCTGGCCTCCCCACCCCCTCCTTTTAGAGAAGGAACTTTTAAGTAGCCTTCAGACACAACCAATCTTTATCTGCCTATATATCACACTAACAGTCTACTTCAAATCTCAAGACTGCATTTATTTTATTCTGAATGTTGTGGTATGTCTATTTTTAACCAGAAAACCCCCTCTGCCTCTTCCTTAATCCTCCTCTGTAAGGAGAGAGATTGCTCTGAATTCTTTGAAGTATTTTATATACAAGATAAAGACTGTATACACAAGTACTGTGTGTGTATATACGTGTGTGTGTTCTACACACACACATTTCTATGTATACAGTCATAGAGTAGCAGGGCTGCAGGGGACTGCAGGCATCTATCCACCCCCCCCCCCACACACGTTTTATAAGAACAAACTGATGAGGACAGAGAGACATACAGGCAGAAATATCGACAGAAAGACAGAGACAAGAGAAAGAGACAGAGGCAGAAAGACAGGAAGAGAGAGAAAGGGAAACTGACAAAGACTGGTCTATGGTCTCAAAGCAGGAGAGCTGTTGACTTGGACCTCAAATCCAGGTCCCCTGTCTCCCAGGCTTGAGCTCTCTCCATGTCAATATTCCACTCTGTTATCATAAAAAATTCATTCATATGGTGTTTAAAGCTTAACATTCCGCTTTCCTCCCAATAGCCCTGTAAGATCGGTAGTACAAGGGTTATCACTCCCATTTCACAGATCAGAAAACAATTTCCATGAGGGTCATTAACTTGCCCAGAGCCGCTAAGTTACTTTAACCCAGGTCTTCTGATGCTGTTATCTGGGCTCCCTCAAATTTGATGTCCAAGGTACCATCCCTATTTTACAAAAAGGGGAAATGAGTCCCGTTGATATGACAATTTCCCCAGGGCAAAGAGTTAATGAAAGAGCTGAGACCAAGCTGAGGTCTCATAACTCCCCTAACTGATGCCTTTCGCCCTAGAGCTCAGTGTGTGTGTAGGAGAAAGAAAGAGAGGGAAAGGGGGAGGGGGGAGAAAGCAGAAGGAAGAGGCAGAGAGCAGGAAGAGAGGGAGTGAGGGGAGAGAGAAAGGAAGAGGGAGAGAGAAGGGAAAGAGAATGGAAGAAGGAAGATAGAGAGGGAGAAGGAGAGAGGAAGGGAAGGGTGAGGGACATAAGAAAGGAGAAAGAGGAGAGGGAAAAGGCACAAAGAAGAGAGAAAAGGAGAGAAACAGAGATACATATGAGATAACAAAGAGGAGAGAGAAGAAAGAGGAAAGTGGGGGATAAAGAGGAAAGAAAAAAGAGGAGAGGCGGGGGAGAGGGAAGACAGGGAAGGGGGACCCAGAGACAAAGTCCCTGCTGTTTGACTACAAACTCCCTGAGGGCAGGGCCTGGGTCTTAACTGAAAACTGTTTCTCCTCCTCTGCCTGACTTAATAAACTTGTGCTGAGGGCTCGTGGATGAGGGACCAGGTAGACACAGAAAAGCTTCCTCTCAAAAAACCAGTCCCTGAGAAAGCCATAAATCCTTCCCTGCCTCATTTTCCCTACTCCAGGTTGAATTGAAGGTGCTTAAAAAAAGAAAAAAAAGCTACACCCCCCCTCCCCCAAACTCCAAGCCATTCTCTAAACATCTCTTCTTCCAGTTCAGACAAGAATAACGTTTCCAGCTGAGTGTGTATGCATTGCTGGCCTTTCCCCAGGTCCCTTCCCCCCTTACCTACTCTTGCAGGTATCTTAGCTGTATCTACTTATTTTCATGTTGTCTTCTCCCACTGGAATGTAAGCTTCTGGAGGGCAAGAGCTATTTTTGCTTTTTTTTTTTATCTCCAGCACCCAGCACAAAGTAAGAGTTTGATAATTGTTAGTTTATTATTGATGGATTGTAGAAACTTTGAAGCAGGAAGGAGAGTTCTTTCAGTTACATACCTATGGGTATCACTTAACTGTCCTTAACCTCAGTTTTCTCATCTGTAAAATGGAAAATTTTTTGTAGTATCTTCCTCTCAGGGTTGCAATGAGGAAGGGCTTTTACATCTCTTAACATGCAAATATTCCAAAAGGAATTCTCCCTAGCTCTCACTTCCTAATAGATAACCGGTGAGATGGATAGAGGGCCAAGCCTGGAATCAGAAGGACCAGAATTCAAATTCAGCCTCTGACACTAGCTGTGTGACCCTGGGAAAGTCATTTGACCTTGTTTGCCTCAGTCTCCTCATCTGTAAAATGAGCTGGAGAAGGAAACGGCAAACCGCTCCAGTATCTCTGCCAAGAAAATCAAAATGGCTGTGTCTGACGTTGACCTTGGCCGTACCCTTACCTTCCACAGCCTTTGCTCTTACACCTTTGGGGTGGTCCTCCATCCCCCCACCCCCACTCAAGGGCAATGTGGTCTAGTGCAAGGAGGTCACCAGTCACTAACTGGCACCAAACAACCCGGGTTCAGTTGTACCTCCGGCACACGTACTCCCCGTGTGACCTTGGACATATGTTTTTCACTTGCCTGGGCCTCAGTTTCCTCACCTGAACAATGGAGGGCTTTGCTACATGGTTTCCTGGGTTCCTTCTAACTCAGGATCCGTATCTCACTGAGTGAGGATATGCTTTTTTTTTTTCTCATTTTCTTTTTAAAACCAGAACCAGCCCCCACAGAATTCATTCCAGCTTGTGATCTCCCCCCGCCCCAGGGGCACCCTCAGGATCCTCGGGGGGTCTGTTTAGGGGGAGGGGGTGCCTGTGTGTGTAACCGAGGACTCTCTTTGGAGGCAAGAAGACGTGGGGGGCTCCATACCTGCCCCGGACATATACCACCTCTCAGCGCCTCAGACAACTAAGACGATAAGTTTTGGAAGTGGGGCCGACCTGTATTGGTAAAGGGAGTTTCGTCCTCTGGGAACACCTATGAAATCACCGAGGCCACCCTCCTTTCCTCGTCCTCCGGAGACCGCAACCACCTCACAGCAGGAATGGAAGGGGTCAAAGCTATGACCTTGGAGGAGGTGACGGGCAGGAGCCGAGGGGCACCGGGACAGGAACTCACCAGGAGGCTCGGCGAGCTCGCCAAGAGCTTTCGCTGCTCTCCCCTCCCCCACCCCGCCCCTCCCATTTGGAGAGGACCGGACCAGAAAGCTTCCAGCCACTGCGGAGGGAACGAGTAGGGGGGGAGTTCGGGAGTGGGGCGCTGGCGGGGAGGGCAGGACTCGGCTAATGCAGTCTCCCCTCCCCCCGCCCCAACTTCAAGATCTCGCAGCACGCTGGCTTTTCGGAAGTAAAAGGGTTTCAGGCGAGCAAGGTTGGCGAGAGAATTTCCTGAGAGCAGGGAGGCCCCCTCCCCCAGCCCGTTCCTACTCCCCAACTTCCCCCGCACCCCGCTTCCCGGGTCGGGCTGGATGCTGCGCTCGCGGTCCTGCATCCCAGGAGAGGACTGGGGAGGGCAGGGGGCAGGGAGGGAGGAAGAAAGGCTGGACTGCCTGCCTGCCTGCTGCGTCCACCCCCACGTCCCCAGCCCAGCCCAGCCCAGCCCAGCCCAGCCTGGCCTCGAGAGGAGCAACAGAGAATGAGTGGGGGGGGGGGGGTGACTGAGTTCGGCGCAGTTCCGGCCACTGGGCTGGGCTGCAGCGCCGGCCCGATGCCCGCCTTCCCCCCTCAAGCCCCCCCAAACTTGGGGCGCGCCCCCTTCCCCCTCCGCCGCAGGACGGCGACAGCACTCGGCTGGCCTGAACGACCCCATTACCAGTCCAGGACCCCGCGAGGGCTCTGCGAAGGCTGGGGGCTGCAGCTACGAGTAAGGCGGGGGGAGGGCGCGGGGGGGACGCTACGGGGGCAGGAGGCAAAGCCCTCATCCCCTAGCACTCCCGGGAGCCGCCTTACCTCTGCCGAGCTGGCCGCAGGCTCGGGCTCGGGAGTAGATGGCGGGGGCTTGGACTGGCAGCCGCACTCGCTCCCTGTGCGCCCTGGGGCTGGCCAGGAGTGCCTGAGCGGGAGCCCGTGCCCTAGAAGGGCTGTGCGCGTCCCTGGGCTCCGCTGCGCTGGCCCGACGTCCCCTGAGGCTAGCTGGCTGACAAGCGGGCGGCGTCCGGCCCCGAAAGCTGCACCGCAGCCCCCGCCTCCCTTTGCAGCCGCGGAGAAAGAGAGGGGACACACCGCCACGGAGAGCGAGCACTCACGCGGCTCGCGCTTTGGGGGGCGGGGGGATTTTGGAGGCCACCTCGCCCAGCCCCGGGTCGCGCTCGGGACCCCTCCTCCACGCCCGCCTCCCACGGCCTCTGGCACCTCCCGGCGAGTCGGCTCCGGGACTGCGACGGGCCGAGAGCTCCTTTTGCCGTGGGGTTTGCGAAGCAAAAAACTTCAGAGGAGCAGGCTTAGGAGAAGGAGAAAGGGGCTGCCTTTGGGAGGTGGTCGCTAGCAGGAATTAGGAGATCCTGGATTTCGAGCGGGCCAGGGAACCTAGGGAACATCCCAGGCAACTCCCTTTTTTTACTGAAGAGGAAACTGAGACCCAAGGACGGCACATTCTTTGTCCCAAGGTCACACGTAGAAAGTGGCAGCCCCGGGATCCAAACCTGGTTCCTGGTTTATCTTTAAAATATAAAACCAAAGAAGCAGAAAACCTTTATATCAAGAGTTCTTAACCTTTTTTTGTGTCGTGAACCCCTTGAGTAGTCTAGTGAAGAATCATATTTTTAAATGTGTAAAATAAAGTGCATAGGATTATACGTGATACCAATTATATGGAAATACAGTTGTCAATTTTTTTTTTTAAAGTTCACTGGACTCCAGATCAAGGACCCCAGTTTGAAAGGGGTTAGCTACAGTGGGTGGCATGATTGGTAAACTGATGAATATCAATTTGCTCTTCATCCAATGTCTGGCAAGGCACACATTCTGGCCCTCATCCTGCCCCATCATCGTGGCTCAGCCCCGACCCCCAACCCCCGACCCCGGACTGAGTCTCTTTACTGGCTCCTCACCTGTGGTGTTGTTTCGTCCCACGGCCACTTGGGGGAAGTGATCTGAGAAAGTCCCACTCGGCGTTCTGGGGCTGAATGTGTTAGCCCTCCCAGGAGTACTTGCATCCATGAGCCTTGGATGGAGAGAGACAGAGACAGAGACAGAGAGACAGAGATAGGGCCAGAGAGAGCCAGAGCCAGAGAGAGAGAGAGCGTAAAACCAGAAATGTCAAATCCTTGACTAAGACCTTGTTGTCAGTCACACACTGAGTCCATAAGGTGGAGCAGTGAATGGCTAGAATTCCGGCCTTGGAGTCAAGAAGACCTGCTTTAAAATCCCATCTAGACACTTTACTAGTTGTGTGACCTCAGGCAAGCCACTTAACTTTTCTCAGCCTCAGTTTCCTCATCTGAAAAGTGGGAGGAGGAGTAGACTCAGCCTTTAAGGTTCCTTCCTCCTTTAAAGCAAGGAATCTATGAACAAGCACATATTAAGTGCTTGCAAGGCTCTGTGTGACCCAAGGCAAGTCATTTCACCTTTTTGCCTCAGTTTCCTCATCTTTAAAACTAGCTGAAGAAGGAAATGGCAAACCACTGCAGTATCTTTGCCAAGAAAACCCCAAATGGGGTCACAGAGAGTTGGACAGGACTGAAATGACTGAACATCATTGAAGGCTCTGTGCTAAACACTGGAGATACAAAAAAAGGGAAAAACAGAACATACCCTCCAGCAGTTCAGCTTCTAATGGGGGAGCCCCTTCCAGTAAATAATCCAAACAGATGGAGAATGCAGGGGACCTTGGGGGAGGGGCCACTTTGAGCTGTCCTTGACCTTAGGGATCACTTAGGCCAACCCCCTCATTTTAAAGATGAGGATTTTCAGGGCTTTGACATCATCATCCTGATTCCTGCCCCCTTTCAAGCCCAGTTTATAAATTTGAGACCAGAATCTGGTTTCAGATTTTTTTCCACCCTCTACTTTTGAGTTGTTGAACATTATCAGAATGTGTGAGCACCAGTTTGAAGTCAGGGGACCTGGGTTTGAATTCTCTCCCTGGCTGTGGAACCTTGGGCAAGTCCCTTCACTTTCCTAAAATGGGCATTGTCCAGCTGACCTTTCAACTCTGAACTCACTGATGATCTCAAAGGTCTCTTCTAGTTCCGAGGACCTCCTGAGGAACTGGACTCCCCAAGCTGGCTGGCAGTGAGGGCAGACATGGCAGAGAGGAGTTCATAGAATCCTAACTCTGGAGGTCATGACTCTTTATACTCAGGGGAAACATCCAGAGAGGTAAATGATCCAAGGTCATAAAGGTGATACTAGACACTGCCAGGTCCTGTGACCAGAGACCCAGCTCTGTTTGCCCCGGGCCAGGCCTTTTTAAACATCATTCAAACACCAGGCTTTCACCACCAAGGAATTTAGGCAATGAAAACTGTGTAGTCCTCGAAAGCAAGATCTCATCCGAGGTTACTCAGGGAGGGGAATTCATCTTTGGTTTAAAAGCCGAGAGGCTCATCAGGCAAGCACGCTCCATCGGGAGGGTCCGCACCCCAAATGAGCAGCAGCGAGACCTGACCCAGAGAAGAGCCTGCTGACTGGGGAAGCAGCCCCTGGGGGGATGGATCGATTGGTGCTGGCAAGGTTTGTTTCTTTCATCTGGCCAGCAAAGCTATTGAAGTAGAGTCCAGAAAGGGAAGGAGCCTCAGCTGCCCAAGGAGATGCCGTCTCTCTCCAGGTTGGCAGAAGCCCAGTGAAAGGGCAAGCCTGCCTTCGCTGCCTTGTTGCCAGCCTCAGAGCACAGCATCTCCCTGTGATGGCATCGATTGTAGGCCCTGCATTCTTCCGTGGGATCCCTGCACAAAGTCCAGTACAGGGTCACTGCCCCCCACCCCCAGCCAATGCAAGTCAGCTACTATGCCATCAGATAACCCTTTGACTTTCCCTCAGACACAGGACGGGGTAAAGCGGGGGGGGGGGGGGGGTTCCCCCCGGGTTCCCCTTGACTATCTGGGGGGGGCAAGGAGGAGGGGAGCACGTGTCTATTGATGTGATCAAGGTATCAGAGAAAGGGTCACAGGAGCAGGGATAGAAGAGCAAAAAGAAACCTGAGAGATTTACGGATAGGGAAACAGAGAGGCAGGGTGGTCCAATGGAAAGAATGCTGGATTTGGAGTCAGGGGCCCTGGGTTCAAATCCTGAATCTGCCACTTGCGTGACCTTGAGGATAGGAATAAGGACAGGACCTGTGCTTTCATTGCTCTAGGAAATTCCTGGGTGAAGAAATTCTCTCTCCCTGTCAAGGTCAGCTTGCCCTTTGCAGCTCAGTGTGTCCTGGGGACTCTAGAACACTGAGAGGCTAAGTGACTTGGCCAGAGTCATACAACTAAGAGAGCATAGCTATTAAAGCTTAAAGATAAGACGGTGGGGACAACCTGTATGTCAGAGGTGGGTCTTGAACCCAAGCCTTTTTGCTCCAAAGCCAGCGCTCAATGGACACCCCAGAAGCTTTAGAGCTGGAAGGGGCTCTAAGAGATCATCCTGTCCTGGGTGTCCCTACCAGGAGCGTGCTGGTAAAATGTTGAACCATCAGTTCTTTGAAACCCATGGCACACTTTTAAATTTAGTTTGTATCATTAACATTTTCTCCATCATTTGCTTAAGCCTATACAATCAACAAAATAAATGAAGCCCTGATGAGTATGTAGCATTTGCCGGTTCCGAGGGGTAAATGCTGACACTCACAATTTAATCATTGGAGCCAGTAAGGGGGCTTTGGCACACCCCTAGACTCTTGTCTGTTGGTCAAAGACTCCCCAGGTTCTGTAGTGTTGCTTCAAGGAGTCTCTATCCAGTCATGTATTTCTCAGTCAAGGGATGCTGATAGTACAAATCCCAGTGTGGGTTTGAAGGAGGGGATGGGAAGAGAAGAAAGTTTTGAAGGTTAAAAAAGGCATCCTTCACAAGAAAAGGTTGGCAATCACTAATCCTCTCCAACCTTTTTATTTCCCAAATGAGGAAACTGAAAGAGGGACACTGGGAGGGGTCTTGACTTGTCCAAGGTCAAATGAGTAATAAGTAACAGTTAGAATTTGATCCTAGGTCCTTCCACATCAAAAATCCAGAAGAGTAGGGAAAAGGAAGTTGGGCTTGGGGTGGGGAAAGAATGGGGTTTCAGTCCTGACGCCCAACCTCAGATACTTCCTGTCTGTGAGACCACAAGCAAATCACTTCTCAGTGAGCCTCAGTTTCCTCACCTGTAACCTAGGGATAACGACACCAAGGACCACATGAAATAATAACTACGTAAGCATCCACCATTCCTCTTCCTGCCGCACTTTCCAAACACAGCGTTGGTGTTGGCTTTAAATATTTCAAATAGAACCCTTTGCCTGGGGCCAGTAAAGAATGTTGGCTTTGTTCTTTTTGTGTTCTTAGACAAGGGGAGAAGGGGGGGGTCATCAGAGTGAAATAAATGTGGAGGCAGAGGATTTTCTTTCCCTTATTTGTAAGGGGCTGAATTATTGCCATAGGCGTATTCCATATTCTACACAGAACATGGTCCCATGACCTTGGGGGGGGTGGGGGGTTTCCTCCTAAAAATTCCCCAGTGTTATCATTGTGGTCATGGTGGTTGTTCTCAAAAGGAAGACTATTTTGAACGATAATAAATTCCAAGGGAGTACGGGATTTGGTTTCTCTGGGGAGCTCTGCCCACTGATGATTGGAAAGTCGAGTTATGATTTTGCCTACTCCTAACAGTTAAAATGTGCTTCTGCATCGAACAATGGGGGCATTTAAAGCTCTTTCCTTAGAAGTAGAGGTGGTTTGGCCAACTTCTCCTCAGAGCATACGTAGCTCCGGGTGCGGAATACTCGGTTACCCTGGGCGAAGTAGCCAAGTACAACCAAAGCAGGAGTAATTACACAGTTAGAGACATTGGTTCACTTCATTTATTCATTCAACTGACATGAGAGTCAGAGGACTCCAGTTCGAGCCTACCTCTGA